TCTGTATTGGGTTGATATTTTGAAATCAAGAATGTTTCATATTTAATCTAAGAATATTCGGAAATAAATATCAAGATCCCAAAGCTACTTTAAATAAGTTCTTCTGCGTGCTGCAATTAAGATAACGTTTTTCTGGTTTTAAGTATTTTCAAACTCGATACAAAAGTTTTTCCTTTCTTTGTATTGGAAAATATAATATAATGAATATGAATATATAGTTAATATTTCAAGATACCAAATCTTTAATGATTCCAAAACTCCTTAAAAAATATCTTAAAATACAACACTAAGCATGGGAACACTTTTGTTTCAAATAATTTCATGCTCAACTCTAGAGTTTTTCTTCTTTCATCATATTTAATTTGAGAAATGGCAATAATTCTAGAACTCCTTAACAATATCTTAAAATAAAATACTTCATATGCAATCGGAAATACTTTAAGCCTATTTCGAGCATAGAAATGTTTTCTTCAATTATATTTGTACCAAAACCAAGAGATTTTATGTTGAAAGCAAGAATTTTTCATGTTTAATTCAAGAATCTTCGAAAACAAAATCCACTTGAAATTTATCGTTTCGATTTGAACAATCTTTGAATGAATGCCTTGCCAGCGTGTGGACAGTTTTTTGGAGAACGCTGTATGGTTATTCGCTGAGTGTACTACAAGTTCCGTGTAGTTGCCCGCCTTTAATGGCAACTTAATAAGTCCAGCGAGGCCGTTGGCTCCAGCTGCGGGCAACTTCTGCTCGACAAAAACGCATTCATGCCATAGAAAATTTAATTAGTTGTCTGCGAGCTGTGTGCTTCTTTGCCAAGGGGTTGCCGGCAGACAGGATATAAATACGAGTGCTCGACAATCTGCTAGATACATCTGCAAACAAAACGTGGCCAATTGAAGGCCAACTGCCACAACAACAACAACAGCAATGAGAGCCAAATACAATAGCCATGGCTAAAAAGTTGTATCTTTTCTCTTAGGCCAACTGCAAGTGTAGCTGTATCTGTATCTGTATCTGTAGCTGTAGCTGTAAATGTATCTGTATCTTTAGCTGTTGCTGTGCGTGCATTCGCAAAAGCTTTATGGGCCGCCACTGCCGGCCGACGCATTCCGATGCGGATCCGGGATTGTGAAATGTTTTCATTTCGAGACACATTTACCAACGCGTCTGTCTGTATCTGTATCTGCGCTTGTATCTGTATCTGTAGCTGTATCTGTATCTGTATCTGTATCTTTAGCTGTGTTTGCTGTCTGTCTGTCTGTCTGTGTGTGTGTGTGTGTGTGTGTGTGTATGTTAGCCATGGCCTGTTGCTGCTTCTCTTTCTCTGGGCCACTCACCTCCCGATACGTGTCGCATTTTAAATAATATCGCGACCATCATAAAAGACGGGAATTCGTCGCACCATCGGGAAGTTTCTAATTCGTTTGCCATATTTACAACTTTTGCATGTTTGTTGAAACTATTTTTAGATATTTTATTGCAGTCATAAGATTCAAAAAAAGATTCGAAACGTAGCCAAAGATTTTTTTTTTATTATTTTCAGTTAATTAATTTGTTACTTATTAATTATTTGTTACATTTGTAACTAACTAAATACAATTATTAATTATTATTTAAAATCTATCAAATATTGGTCGAAATCTTTGCAAATTTTGTTCAGCAAAAATTATAGATAAATTACATATTTTATCAGACTGACATAAGAATTTATATATCTTTATTAATTGTCTTTCTCATCAATTACAAACCAACCTTTTCTAACTAACTTATACCAAGAACTCATTTTAAAAAAGATCCTTACCAGATAAATCTATGAAACATAATTGATAAATCTCTTATAATACACTCAGAGAACATTTTGAAAAATTTTTTTAATACAAAAAAAGGCATTGCTAAAAAAAAAACATGCTTATTATAAACTACAAAATTATGAGTTTTTTATAGAAATATTTTTCTAATATTCAAATGTTTGTTTTAGAAATATAATTCATAAATCATTTTTTTAAACAAATTATTTTTATTAAATTTTCAGCTTAATGCCTAGTGTTCCCTTTAGATATAGATAGATAGAATAAAAAGTCTTGCTTGCTTAGATCTAATACGTTATTTCTGTAGATCTTAAAAACTAAGCTCCTTTAGGGAAGCCCCGTCCAGATGCCTTTGACCTTCTGGGCTGTCGTTTCGCTATCAATTTTTGGTAGCTTGAGACTCTTGACAGTCTTGATGGTGCGATGATCCAATGATCCGATGATCATCAGGGGCATTTAGAAAGTCGCCCGGAAATTCACAGCCACACACGGCATATTTATGCTGATTAGCACCTATTGGATTAGCTCTGCCCAAAGCATGTGTCGTCTCTGTGTGTGTGTGTTAGAAAATAATCAATTGGTAAATATGTTTATCACGACTTTGGGCCAACGTGCATAGCTTTCCTTTCCATGCTCCACTTTGCTTCAACTCGTAGTCAACGTCAGGGGGACGCGAGGGGCGGGCAGTCATTGGCGTTTCATGAATGAAAAACGTTGCTGCCGTAGGCCAGACACACACACACTCACACACATACACACACGCACACACACACGCGCATGTGTGCATGTGTTTGTAGGCATGTTAATATGTAGGTAGGCAGACAACATATTTGTTTGTCGTTTACTTATCTGGCTGCCCCCGCCTGTGGCTCCGCTTATCATCGCTGCCTTTTGTAATGCGCAAACAAAGCATAAATACCAACACATCAAGTTGTTTAGATTTTTGGAATTTGGTTTGCCGCTGCCCTGGCATGCTTGGAATGTTGTGGCGCCCCAGCTTCGGCTCCGGCTCCGGCTCCAGCTCACCTTGAGCTGAGACTGACAGTCGCAGTTGAAAATAAAAAAGAAAAAAAAAAAACAACAACAATAACGAAATATAATAAACGACATTTGGCGCAGCTTCAACGTTGGCGTTGGCGTCGGCGTCTGCGTCGGTGTTGGCCGTTTGCTGCTTTGACCCACTGTTCAAAAGCTCGGCGCTCGCGTTCTCCCCTCTTGCGCTGCTTCTCTCACTTCTTCTCTCTCTCTCTCTCTCTCTCTCTATCTAACTGCAGATCCAGTCACATTGTGTACTTACCTATACACAGTTAAACGAAATGTTTTTGTACTCACCTTCAGAGTGGCAGCGACGGCAACAACAGTTTCACTTGGAGGCTGCGCCGGCGGCATTAGTTCAAAGCTTTGTAACACCACACGAATCTCTAGCAGTGTGTGCGTGTGCCTGTGTGTGTGAACGTGTGCTTGTGTGCAGGGCACACAAAAACCATTGGAATGTGGAATGTGGTATTCATTGACAAAATCAGCTTTCAAAATGATCTCACTTGTATGAAATACAGTCAAACCAAATCGAAAACCGGTTTCGTAGTCAAATCAGAGATAGACGACACACAAAGAGCGCGGGGCACGGGGGAGTGGGGAAGTGGGGGGAGCGAGCGAGAAGTAGCACTTTTATAAATTTCAATTTAGTTCGTTTTCCTTGAATTTTACACAATATATGTACATACATACCTTAGAGTATTTCACAGTTTTCACCGCACGTGCCTGGCCCGGCCCGGCTCAAAGCCCTGAGCCAAATTTAATACTTCATTTTGATTACGATGTGTGTCAAGTCAAAATTAACTGCTGCCATTTAACACATTGCACCAAAAAAAAACACACACACACACACAAACCTTTCATAGCCTTAATATTTTCACACGCGCAAAGCAAAAGCAAACAAAAGAAGAAAAAAACTAACCTGAAAGAAACACGAGCATCAAGAAGAAGAAAGAAAAAAAGACAGCGACTAAATTCGGGCAAGATCTTACGGTTTTTGGTTTTTAATATAAATAGCACACACAATTAGTGGCGCTGAGAGTGAGGCGCTGAAAAACACAAACACACACACACACACACATGCACACAAAACTAAAAGAAAGAGGAGAAAAATAAACTGTAAATATTTCAAACTTATCACAGCTGCAACTATGTATGTCGATTGCTATCGAGGGGAGTTTATCAAAATTCGAAACGAGGGGGGTCGCTAAATATAGTCGTGTGTACCCCGCCCGAAGGGGAGGGGGTGCAACGGGGCGCAATATCAAAGGTGCACATAACTTACAAGCTTTAAATATAGACAGACAAAGCTGCGCAGGCGTGCCCTGTGCGCGAGAGCGAGAGAGACGCGACAACGCTTTGGAATGCTGGGAGCAACAATCTTCATTTAACAGTCATTAATTTAGACGTCGTTCCGGCTGTTTGGCTAAGGGAGCGCCCGCTGCTGCTGTTGCGGCGGCGACGCCAGCGGCTGCTGCTGCTCCCGCGAGATGATCACACGCTGCTGCTCGGCTGGGAAGCTGTGGGAAAGTATGTGCCGCCGCAGCAACAGCGACGGCAGCGGCAGCAGCAGCAGCATCAAATTGGGTCAACATTTTTTCATTCACTCTTTTTTGTTGCTATATTTCAACATATTTTGTGTATGTTTAGTTTTTAGTGTTTTTTTTTTACTCTTCTTCTGCTTCTTTTTTGTGTGCCTGCCATTTTTTATTAACACAAAACTTTCTATTGAGCGGACAGCAAAAACACACACACACACACACACAGAAAAATGATTTTTGTTGTTGTAACTGAGAGCCACACACGAACTTCAGCAGACCGTAGCATTCACCGTTACTTTTTTTATAGCACATTTTTATGGCTGAGGCCTGGCGGTCAGGAACTGCCGCCCCGTTAATACAAATATAATTTTTAATTGACATTTATTGTCGTGCATAAAATAAAACGGGCCTCAACTTTGTCTACGCAACTCCCAAAGCAGATTCCAACCGAACAGCTTGCAAGTCCGCGCAGCTTTGACTATCGATAGTGTTAGCGACGCCGATAGCTTAACGATAGGCCGGACGATAACTTACGACGGCATTCCTTAAACTCGTTGCTGTTATTACAGTTGTTGCTGCTGCTGCTGTTGTTGTTGTTGTTTTTGCAGCCGACCACCGCCAACGTTTCGCCGTTGGCGTTCTTTGGCATTTTTTTTTTGCTGACATTATTGCTTTTTACGTCCAAGAACAGCAACAAGAACTACAAACGGGATCAGTTTGCCGTTGTCCGTTAGCCCGCTGCATGTGTGCGACTATGTAAGAGAGAGGGGAGCGAGAGACAGCAAGAGAGCGCGTGCACACTTGCGTTCCCTTTTTACCCTTTTCGGCTGCGGCTGCGACGGCGACTGCGGCTGCACACTTGGACTTTGGCGTCTATCCCTGTCTGCCAGCAGACGCCGTTGCTTTTTCCTTGGCTGCCTTCTTTCGCTCGCCCTCTTTCGTCTTGCTGTTCTTGTAAAACGGTTTGGCGTCGGTTTTCTGGTTCTGCTTGCCTGCCGCCTGCCCTGTTTGTTCTGTTGTTGTTTTTGCTGTTGCTGTTCCTGTTGCTCTCTCTCTGCCGTTGTTGCTGTTGTTGTTGTTACCAGCCCGCATTCTATGCTGGTGGTTGACTTTTCTTCGTTTTGCCTTTTGCTGAGTGATGCAACTTTAGTTTGGCGTTGGAAGACCACGATACCCAACAGCCGCAGCGCCGAGTCCAGCGATTGCAATTATGATAGGTAGTGCCCACTCCACTCCACTCTTGGCTCTGCCGCTGCGACTGCGAATGCTCCCTTTATTATCGGCTGCAACTGCATCGTGTGCGCAATTACCATCAAAATACTTTAACCGCACAGCGCCGCAATAAAAGCTTCAAACGCGCAAGCGACTTAACTGCTATACAGTAGAAACTGGCTAAAAGCAACGAGCATACAAATAACTAACTCTATTGAGCATAATTACCAAAATTAACGCTTAATAGTATTTACAATTTAAAAAAAATATTAAATTTTTTTGTGCTCGCCTAACTGTAACTTTCGTGATTTTTACCAGTTGCTTTTAGGCAATTAATTCTGTACTGAAGCTGAAGTTGCAGTCACATAATGCCAAAGTCTGGCTCAGACCTACGCTCGCGTCGTGTATGACTCATGCTTGACAAATTTCAATTTCAATTTCTAAATAGACGCTACACACACTCACACACACACACACACACACATACAGAGACGACGACGCGCAGCATCCAATTTCAGCCAATAAATATTTTACTTCGTCTCCAAAGACGAAGCCGAGCTTGTGACTTGTAACTGACAGCGAAGCAGCCGCTGTACATACATACATACAAATGAATGTGTGAGTGCTGTGTGTGTGCGTGTGTGTGTGAGCGCATTGACTGCTGGCAAATTCCACAAGGCTTACTCGCTTACCCATGTGGCTTGTCTTGGAGTTTAGAATCAAAGAGCTCCTTAGATGTCAATGGATGTCCCATGCAGCAGCAGCAGCAGCAGCGGCAGCAGCAGCACTCGCAAGACGACGACACAAAGTCTTGGCCAACAGAAACCAGTTTCTGGACACATTTTTCTTTCTCATATATAGTTTTTTATTATTACTCACTTTTGAAGCGCAAGTTCTATTTGGCTTAGTTCTTCTCATAGTTGAACGAGACCGCATTCCATGCTACAACCAATACAGGCACGCCAAGCTCAAGCCACACACATACATACAGGCACACGCACACTCACACTCGCACTCACATACATGTACATGGACGGGCAGAATTCTTTAACTTTAATTTTTCCACGCTGTTTATGCTGTGGGCCAATTCAGCTCTCCCCACCGCTGTCTTGTGTCCACCAAATCGTTATTTGAACTTTCTGGAATGCGGTCGCCCAAGTTTCATATGTACATACGTGTGTATGTACATATGTATGCATTAGTGTCTGTCTGTATGTTTGTTTTGCGTGTGTGTGTGTGTGAGTGTGTGTGGCGCAGCCCATGTTTGTCGTCTGCTCCGTTTTGGGTAGCTCCTTGCTGACAAGCCTTTTAATTTAACATAACTTCTTATTTTTTTTTTATATACAAATCAACGTTCCAGTGTCATTTTTGCAATATTTACTTTTCACACTGTTTTTGTTGTTCTTGTTGTTACATCCGCTCTCACAAAATCAACGAAGTCTGCAAGCGAAACGTCCGCGCGCAGCTCGGCAACGACCATGCGGCTGTAGCTACAAAAATTCACTGAATGAAAACATGTCTTTTCTTTCCTGCGATCTTCGGGCGGATCGCTGCGCTGGCAGCGCGCGGGCAGAGGCAGCGCGCAGCGACGTTGGCAGTGACGCCAGCAGAGGCAGCACTTCGGAAATGTTGCTGTTGCTGTTGTTGTTGTTGTTTCGAAAGTAGTCGCTTGTGTGATGTATCTGTCGCTGTATATGTACGTGTGTATCTTTGTGTGTGTACGTGTGTGTGTGTGTGTGTGTGTGTGTGCTAGAAAGTTTCGATACAAACTGAACTACTCCACGATGATGTTTGGGTCACATGCATATGAAACTTACAGAACGGCATTCCACAACTGAGCTGACACCGCACCGCACCGCACCGTAGCCCCCTGCGCTGCGCTGCTCCTCTGCCTGACGCTCTGCCCGCAGCCAAGTTACAAAAGTATCTTTGTATCTGTATCTGTTACTGTTGCCGCGTCCAAGCAATGCGCTACTTTAGCCTCTTGTCCCAAGCACAAGTCAATGTCTCTTTGAGTCGGAATTTTGCTGCTCATTGGATTCTTCAGCTTCGTCTTTTTTTTTTCTTTAGTTTTTAGTTTTTGCCTCGTTGGTTTTTTGTAATGTTGTAATCTACGAAAGGTTTGTTATTGTTGTTGCTTTTATGCGTGTGTGTGCGAGTGTGTGTGTGTGTGTGTGTGGTTTTCGTAAGTGCTTTTGGAATGTTTATATGTTTGTGTATGTATTTATGCATGTAACGTATGTGCGGAGCTACGTTTTTTATGTTGCTGTAGCTGGTGGCGTTCTTTTGCGTAAACAACACACACACACACACACGCACACTAACCGAAATTCGCCATTGAACGGTAAAAACAAATTCCAACGTGTTTGACTTTGTCAGTGCTCGCGTGTGTGTGTGTGTGTGTGAGTGTGTGTGTGTATGGTCTTTTTCAATTACATGTTTGTAAATGGAATTTCTGAACTTTTTGTGAACGAGGTCATTTACAAGGAAAAAAACCAAAGCACAACATATACTGCTGCGGGGTGGGGGGCAAAAGCTGTATATATTTTGTTGTTGTTGTTTTTTTTTTGTATTCGTCATGAAGGTATTTATAGGAAATTCCATAGGCATTACTCTTTAAATTTAAAATAGGCGTTATTTATAGTTGCCGGGGCAGCGGCATGACATGAATACCAAATGCACAGCCCCCGAGGGGGAAAGGGTATTGGAGAAAAAGAAGAGAAAAAAATGCCAAACGATTGACGAAATTTGTGTGACAATGTCTAATTCGATAGAAGATTAGTGTGAAAACTAATGGCAGCATTTTAAGATCTAAGAATTAACATAAATTTCCCATGATAAAAGTTGGGAAAGGCATCAAAATGATGGGCTTATAAGCTTGTCAAGGTGGTTGAGATAAATTCTAGAATAGTTCTGAACAAGCAAATTCTTTAAAGAAAAAACAAAACAGTTAGTAAATCGTACATTTGCTTAGTTTTATAGAGTTCTTGTAAATTATTCCATTTGTTCCCATTTTGTTCCTGTTTGTTTCAAGTTCTGTTCTAGAAATGTTTTCTCCAAATTCTCCCAGTTACCCATACATTATTATTATCCACTCTAGCCTAGCCTGTCATAGGAATATTTATAAATAATTTAGTCTTACGAATATCAGCTGCTCGTTATTGTTTTTTATAACTGCAAATGACATATGATTTGAAGAATTCTGGAAATAAATCGTTTGGGGAATTACAGCAAAAAAAAAACACACGTCATGTGGCAATTGGTGCAGGTGATGCGTACCAAAATGTGACTGTTTCTGGACATGAAAGTACTTCGAATGTTGTACAGTTGGTTTGCTTTGTGCCGTAGTCTGTTGATAAGCCAACTGCATCATCAAAGTTCCCCGTAACTGGGGCGCCAGGTGTAAATTTGTAATGCCACGAATGAATGCGGCCCATTGACAATTATTTTGAGCACTCGTCGCTGGGCTGGTCGACGATTGATAAGTAACGGCGGCTACTTGACGCAAGAATTTCTGGAATTTCGAAAGTGTACACACACCTGTCACGCACACACACACACGAACACGAACACGAACACGCACACGCACGGCACGAAGCACGCGCTCAATCTAAGGCTTATCAGGAATCCAAACTATATAAAAGAATTGTGATGGCATTGCAGCAACTCTTTGAGTCACATGCTTAAACACTTACCTGGGCGCTGCTTGAACAGCGACGAGGGGAGGGGGGCGGGGGGTTCGAGCGGCAGGTGGCGGGTGCAGCAAGTCTGTAAAGCAAGTGAGAAAAGGGTTACGGAAATTGTTATAAATATTTGTATTTTTCTTGCAAGGGATTTCTCAATAAAAATATAAAATAATAAAAGGCAAACAAAACTTGGACTTTCGTCTGTTTGTACTACTTATTTACAACATCAACAGCAACGTCAAGAACATCAAAATAATTAATAAATCTTATCAGGCGACTTGCTGTTGCCATTGCCGTTAAGAGGGCCGCCAAATACAACAACAACAAAAGTGAAGTACATTTATACACAAGCCTATAGCACATGTTATTAAAAGGCCTTTGGCTGTGACGTGGAAAGATTGGAATGCCAATGCAGTGTCATGGGTTAATTGTGCACCACGCACGGTCAACGATAGCTCGTTCGAATAAAAAAAGTAAATAATAGAGTGAAATAAAAATCGTTTATGGCTTCCCCTATCAATATCAAAGTACGCAGACCCATTGGTAATCGCATCGAAACTTTGGCCTAGCTTTAAGGCTTAATAATGTCGTCTAATAGGCAGCACGTGATGCGCATACGACGGCAGGTACCATTAAAAAATCTAAACCCGGTGGTCTATCAAGGGGGGGGGGGGGTGGCAGCAGGTGGGAGGGGGGGCGGGTGCAGGTATGCTGTGCCGCTAGACCCCCAGCTAGACAAATTGCACATAATTTCTAGTCGAGCAAGCGGCAAAAAGTGCAGCGAACCTGCCCGAAAACGAGACACACGAGCGAAAGAGTTGGCCATAGGCAAAGTGAAAGGGTGAGAGAGATAGAGAGAGAGAGAGGGCGAGAGAGAGGGGGGGGGGGGGGCAGCGTGTGTAAGCCCTGGGGCAGCCAGCTAGTTAGTTAGTTAGTTTCAGTTGACGTCGCCAGACTCTCTGCTCCAGTCTCCGTCTTTATGTGCAATTTTATGCATGAGAGAATCAGTTGCAGGCAAAAAAAACAACAACAACAACAACAACAACAAAAACTATTAACTGAGGCGGAGGCAGAGCGCGTTGCAACTGCCGCCGGCAACTGGCTCAGGTTAGATGATAAGCCGCTGCGAAATGGAGAACCCACCAATGCACACACGAACGCTAACCAACACCAAGAGTTGGTAACTGCACACTGGCACAAAGTCACACGAAAATGTGTTAAAAAACATATCAGAAATGTAACAGATAACTATAAATCACTTCTTACTTAGATCTACACCGATTTTTATAGTACTCGAAACAAATAGAAAACCTCAAGAATATCTTAATGAAAAGTAGAAACCAATATATACCATATATCCTTCTCTATATATAACCTACCTATCATATTATAGCCAAAATTCCTGGACGATTCTTGGCAGTAAAAATCAAATAAAGAAAATACTGAGTTTGAGCAAAATATATTGGAAAACAGAATATTTTGCCATACTTGCACCTGCTTTTCGTCCGATTGTTCCTATGGCAGCTATATGATAAAATGGTCCGATGTTCCTAAGATATATAGATATATGTGTGGGAAGCATAGTGAAACTTATAAATGTCGAGTTTGGTCAAGATATCTTACAAACAAAAAGGTTTGAATACACTTAATTCCCGACCGATTGTTTCCATGGCAGCTATATGATACAGTTGTCCGATCCGACCTATTCCGACATATGTACTTTTAAACTGGGAGACTAGTTCTACAGGGTATTTAAAGTTCGGAGTGCCAAGGATAGATATTCTTTCACTTATTAGGTAATTTCGATATCGATTATTTTGATAGTAATTCTCTACAGAAGTTTGAACTGAGTGTGGAAGTAGGAAGGTCCCAAAGAGAGGATTTGAACCAGCATCCTTTTTTACGATATTAATCTCATGATCATACTACCTAATGCCTATTTTTAGAATATATGAACCCAATTTATGAACAAGAATTTATGAATATCGTTGTAAAACCCAGCCTGTGGTTTGAACTGGCGTCCTTTATTTCAATCGCTCGACTATGATTAATGCGAATTTCTTGACCATAGCTGGGAATAGTTGTAATATTTTACTGAAATGCAATTAATTTGTGCGGTGCTGGGTTGGGTTAATGCTTCGATAAACAAAAGAATAACTGGCTTCGGTTCATGGTCTGATTCGGTCAGCAGAAAAAGCCAAGCCACAAAAGCTAAATGAAGTTAACAAACGTGCAGTTCATATTTACCAGCAGATAATTGCTTTATAATGATTTATAGCTTTCTTTTGATCGGTTGAATGAAGAAATGTTAACGGTTGCGATCAACTCAGACAGCTGACCAGGCAGGTTTCTGGTTCAAATCCACGCTATAGTGTTTGAGTGTAGGGAGTTATTATTCGAAAGTTAGCTTCAAAGTTTCCATATTCAAGAAATGTTCTTATGAAGAATACAATTATTTTCAAGATTTTCCTTATTAAATGCAGGCAGGTTTCTGGTTCAAATTCATCCAATTTAAAACATATAGGGAGTTCTTAGCCGAAAGTTAGCTTCAACCTTTCTTTATTCAAGAAATATTTATATAAGAAAACCAATTATTTTTAGGACTTTACTTTTTGAGTGCAGACAGCTTTCGGGTTCAAATCCAACCAGTTCAAAGCATATAGGGAGTTCTTATTCGAAAGTTAGCTTCATAGTTTCCACATCCGAGATATTTCTATATAAGTATTATATTTATATTTAGGCTTTTCTTTTAAAGTGCTTTTCGAACCACTGTCTTGTTTGGGGTGGACTTTTGGCAGTTGCATGTTGCATGCATTAGCATACAAGTGTTGGCCGCAGATTCAACATACAACAACAACAACAACAACAACATCAACGAGTAGCTCTTGCTAACGAACAGAGCGACGCCTCTAGAGAAGAGAAATGCATTGAAGCGACGCTGATGCTGATGTTGCTGCCGTTGCAGTTGCCGTTGCCGTTGCCGTTGCAGTGGGCGCTGGCTATGGGTAGTGGCCCGATGCTGCCCCCCGGTTGGTTGCCTCCCCTCCCCCACCCACCCTCCTCCCCCGTGGCAGCAGTAGCTTCTATGCAGCTAGGCTGTGTCTATGCCCTCTCAGCTGCAGCTTGTGCTGGGTGTGGGTAAGTCTATGACCGCCGACTGCTTTCAAAGTGTGTCTGCGCCGTGGGGGAAAGTCGTCGCGGGGGCAGACAGCACAGCGGGCAACTGGCAATTGCTGTGCCGCTTCCTGAGCCCACACAGACGCCGTCGCAGCCGCCGTTGCCGTTGCCGTCGCCCTCGCCGTCGCAGACAGCGGCCATGTGAGGCTGGCATAATTATAGCACATTCCATGACACAAAGTAGCTGCAATCGGATGTGGATTTGGCTACCAAGTAGGAGTTGTTTGCCTTTTCAATGTGGGCGTCGCCCGCCTCTCCCCGCCCGACTGCCCGCCCGACCGCCCGTCCGTTCGCTCGTCAGCGCATGATTTGTCTCAGTCTCAGCGCCTCCGCCTTCGATCTGAGATGTATTAATGACATTTGGCCCAGTTTCTTAACAGTTTTCCTCGGCGTTGTCGTGGGGGCGACGTCGTCGTCGTCGTCGACACGTAACTGGGAACAGCTGTGCACACGACGTTGGCGTCGCTGTCGCCTCCTCTGCCTCGTCTGTCTCATTCATATTCATAAATTTAACGTATTTTTTGCGTAAAGCCGCGACGCAGCGGAAGTTGTATGTTCCCCCCCTAGACCCCCCGACCCCCGATCCGTCTCCCTTCGTTTGCCCCTGTTCGCTTGCCAGACAATGCGCCGCTCTATTTTGGCTGCCCGTTCGTATTCCCCTTCCACTGACCGCTCCCGTGCCCGTTCCCCTGCCCGTTCCCGTTCCCAGGCGGAAAGCTAAAGTTCAAAGCACTATTGAACTCGAACTGGCAACACTTTCGCCATAAATAGCAAAAGTGACGGCTGCTCTGCTCCGGCGTCGACGTCGACGTCGCTGCGTTTTGTTTTTATCAACGGAAACAGCAACTGGGAGCCGAGGAGAGTAGGGTATTAGCAGGGGCTTAGGGGTGAGGCGGAGGGCAGGCATCGATAGGAAGTGGCAAAAGCAAAAAAAAAAAAAAAAGTAGAAGAAAAAGAAGAGAGAATGAAAGAAAAACGAAAACAAAAGTGACTAATGCGCCAAGTGTGAGCCGCTCTGGCTCCCGCTTCCTCCCGCTCACTTCCTGTGCGTGTGGCCTAATGAGGAAGTGGGAAATGGAAGTAGTCTGCAGAAGGCGGGCGGGGAGGGGGGGCGGGGGAGAGAGAAGAGGAAATGGAAATGGAAATAGCAGAGCTGGGGTAGGTGGGAAGTGCAACTGCATTTCAAAGTGCAAGCCAAAAATAAAGCATGTGAGAAAACAAAAAATACGACGGCAGGTCGAAGACTGAATACCCTACGCAAGATTCATGTGGGCTCGCTTATACTTGATGACATTTTTCGTATATATAGTTAAGAGTTATTGGGAAGAAAATCTTGAAAACTGTTGTAGGGCTTAAAACATAAATTGATTTTTAAGAATTATTTCTTCAATTTGTTATTATTCCATTGCTCAGGGAATATTTATTTTTATCTGTCTTTAATCATTGGAAAAGTATTAAAAGAAGAACTTCTAGCCAATACTCCGACCCGTGAAATGAATTAAAACCAAAACAAGATCTTTTTGATCGAAAAGTAGAGACTTCCCTGACGTGCTAAACATTCCTTTATCAATATTATACATTCACATTCTCATATTTACTTATGAAACGCACCAAAATGCAGACGCCATTTGGAGCCGAGCTGTGTCCGGGACCGGGGCCGAGGCCGGGGCCGGGACGGGGCGGGTCTGGCGGGCTCTATAAATAAGCG